GCTGGAGCCCCAGTGATGAGGCAGGCAGGCGGCTCGGGAAGCGGCTCAAGGTGCTGTGGGCCGCATGCAAAGGGGCCACAGGCCATGTGTTGAGTAGCCCTGTCTATCGGTTTCAGAGGAATTCTTGAATAAATGGACCCACAGACAGAAAGACACACTCAAAGAGAGAGAGAATCAAATGTATTCTGATTCAGCAAAAGCTAAATACACACATCATTCCAGCAACACAGGGATCCCTCTTGCTGCCCACTACAATATAATTATGATATATACCCTATATACTGTATGGACACACATCTACATGCAATTTCATGATTGTTCAGTATTTCAGCAAGTAATCTTTAAGGAAGTATAATAAGGAGGGCCCTTCAAGGTGAACAATCTTAACCCTTCAAAGAAAATCATCACCTTTCAAGAGAATGTTGACTTTGATGGATATCTAGAAGAGCGATCCAGTACCAGAAAGTTTTTTGTTGATGTTCTCGGCAGCTTTGGTACCAATGGCAGAACTACAAAAAACCACAGATTAGAAAGGAGTAAGTTCCGCTGTTCTCGTATTACTGTGTCAGGGAAGAAATAAAATAGTAAGCAAAGGAAGGTGAATAAAAATGCCCAAAATCCAAGAGGAGGACAAATTATAACGAAAGGAATTTAATAAAATCCTGAGGAACACAACTAGTACTAGAAATTCTACACTCAGCCCCAAAGCACTGCTTTTCTGCTCATTTCTTTCCCAACATGAGTAATCGGCTCTGGGTGACACTACTAGGTGTATATACAGTTGTATGGGAAATTAATAGTATCTGCTCTGCATAGACACCTTTAAAACATGTACATATTTATCAGTCTCTGCCTACATGTACAAATCTACCTTTACAATTCTATAAAACACTGATAAAACACTGTTTAGAAGATTAGAAATCTGAAAGGAAAGATAAAATGCAGTCCTTTTATACATGGAAACTTACTGTGTTGGCAGGTCATTCGAATGAACCCAATTTTTTTCCCACAATTAAATCTGCAGTGTTATCAAGAAAATCAGTTTATTTCAGGACTGTCAACCTAATATATAAATTTCCCTTTGTGCCTGAAATGCCTTTTATCAGATAAGATAGCTTTTGTTTAAACTGCTATTTTCAGCGTATGCTTTGGGGGTTTTGAATATACACAGTGAAGTAACTTGAGATTTCCTACCCTGTTTTAAAATGTGTTTCTTCTGTCTGTTTGTATTTTGTAATTTCCTGTCAAATAACCTCACCATAATTAACTTTCCGTGCTCAAACCTGCTTTTTTTTAAAAAGCTATTCCCACTTCCTAAGGATGGTAATAAAATGCTGATTACATTCGGCTGTTATCTTCCCCTTCTTCCTCTCCTCTCCTGCCTCCCCTTGTCAAAACCAGCACTCAGGTTTCAACTCTTCCGTGGCCTGAGAGGAGCACATGACAGAAAGAGGAAGCAAATCAGACTACAGGAATCCAGATTCATTAGAGTTTATTGGGTCAATCTGCAGCTGGATTGGAGCCAGACAATTAGGTAGTGCTGCTCCTGAAGTCTGGATGTGTCAGTATCTTTCCAAGGCTAAGTGAACTTCAACAGGTAACCAACACAGATCAGCCTGCTGCCCGGCGGTCTCCTGTGGTAGCAGTGGTGTGAGTGGGCAGAGTAGGAAAAAAGCAAAGAGAAGGTTTAGGTCACCCAGGAGGTGGGGAGAAACCATAGCAATATGCTGCTACTCCAGGTCACCTCACAAATTATTGAAACAGGATGATTTGGCTGCTTTTTTTCATCATCAAAATCACTAAACATACAGGCAAAATTTTCTCTTTTAGGCATACAAATGTATCTCTTTGCCCACTAACTGGTATTGTCCACAAAGAAAATTTCTGTTATGATAGTCATAGGTACTTTAAAAAAAGCATCATTATATGCTATTAAATATGAAGGACACATTTCCTGCTTTTTTCCCCTACGCTAACCCTTCTATCTTTCCTGTGTACTTTCTTCTTTCTCCCCAGCCCCCATCTTTCCAGATCTCTACTCCTGATTGTCTTTTGGCTCCTCCTCCATTCACTATCCTTAAAAACCTCAACTCCACCTGTTACGTGCGTTATTGCCTATCTCTTTCCTCTCTTTTATCTGTAAATTTGTTATATGTGCAATCTATAGCTCATGTATTCTAGTCCTCTCCTCCAACATACACTGTCTTGCATCCCTTCCAATCTAACTTCCATTGCTTCCACTCTACTGAAACCACTATCACTACAATCTCTCAATGATCATGTCTCAGGCACGCTACTCCATCTTGAACATCCTAGGCCTCTCTGCTACTTTTAATACTCTTGATCATCCTCTCTTCCATATCCTCATTGGATTTTTGAGACATATAGCTAGTGGACTTCCTAACTCTCTCCCAGTCGTCTTATCTATAAAAACAATGAGTGTCCTGTGGCACCTTAGAGTCTAACAAATATGTAGGATCATGAGCTTTTGTGGGTAAAACCCACTTCTTCAGATGAGCTGGAATGGAAATAACAGAATCCAAGGTATTTATGACAGCAAGTGGATTCACGCTGCCAGAATTCAAGGTATTTATGACAGCAAAGGAATACCTTGGATTCTGTTATTTCCACTTGAACTCACCTGATGAAGTGGGATTTTACCAATGAAAGCTCATGATCCTAAATATTTGTTAGTCTCTAAGGTGCCAGAAGACCACTCATTGTTTTTAACGTTACAGACTAACACAGCTACTTTTATTATCTATGTGGAGTACTCTCCCCAGCTATACCTACACTTTAAGCACTGCATCTGATGACACTTTGACAGACATTCACTATAGTAATGGAAGTGATTTTTTCCATCACTATAGTAATTTCACCTCCCAAAGAGGAAGTAATTAGGTCAAAAGAAAAATTATTCATCAACCTAATACTGTCTACATAGGGACTTTAGGCTTTGTCTACACTGCCAACTGAATGACAGACTTTTGGGCTACATCTACACTGCAGTTCTTGCGCAAAAGGTCTTGCACAAGACCATGTCCACATTGCCATGTGCTTTTGTGCAAGAGATGTGCTTTTACGCAAGAGCATCCATGGCAGTGTGGACGCTCTCTTGCATAAGAGAGCTCTGATGGCCATTTTAGCCATAGGGGTTTCTTGCGCAAGAAACCCATGTTGCCTGTCTACACTGCCTTCTTGCGCAGGAGGGCTTATTCCTCGTGGGGAGAGAAATAACTCTTGTGCAAGAAGCCCTCTTTTTGATGCTTTACTGTAAATTTACTTGAGCAAGAACATGAGTGCAGTGTAGACACTCTGCAAGTTTTTGCACAAGAACACTGTTCTTGTGCAAAAAGCCTGCAGAGTAGACATAGCCTTGAAGTTCACAGGTGCTTAAAAAAGTGCCCTCTCCCACGAAAGTCTCAAGTTTTGTGGTGGCAAGTTGCTCAGAGAGAGTGGAAAAGTGATGACAAACAACATTCACACTGCCAGACTTTTAGCACCTAAACTGACTGAACTATATTGCTCAGTGGTGTCGATTTTTCATATGTCTGTGTAATTTAGCTGGGTTAATATAATTTTCTTGTATAGACCTTCCCCCTGGTCGCTGTGGGGAAGGTTTAAAGTCTTTATCCTTGACAGTGCTCTTCTCACATTATACCTTTTCTATGGGGAGTTTTTTACTTCTTTGCTAAGTCTGCTATCTCTTTCAGGACCTACCAAATATTCATTATATTGAGAACAACTTTCAGTCCCTCCTGGGCTGGATTCTTAAATGCCAATTTATCATTTTAGCACTGGTGTGCCCACTTTTGAAACAGGTGTGCCCACTTCTGCAGCTCACAATACAATCTGTGAGGATGTTGATAAACTGAAGAAGGTTCTGTACTCAATATTGCCTGAAGTGACCAAGTGTAATTTTTCATTTACCTTGTTTCTACAAAGGGGTCAATTATATTTGTCCTTAGGGTAGACTTCTGAAGCATAGGAAAGCAATAACATTTGTATGTAAACTGCTCAGAAATATTTTATCATCAGTGAGTAACAAAGATGAGATGAGAACTTGCACGCAGCTCAGTGCACCTCCTATTAGGATAAACGTATTTTGTCTCCAATATTGTCTGAAGTTAAAGCAAACTTCTCAGCAAAAATATGAATTTATTTTTTTATTTGGGTTTGGTGGGCGGGCAGGGGAGAAAAGTGAATTCTACTATAGAAAATCCATAATCACAATTTCATGTGAATCCTGGACTGAATACTGTTTTTTGGAAGTTCATTAGGTTTATGTTTGTTACATCGTTCAAGTCAAGAAATGGATGAATACTTCACGGGGCAGCCTTAAACAAGATCGCCTCACTCTGTAATGTGTTAAAGGAATTCACAACAGAAATCAGTCACATTAATCAGCTGGATAAAGCAGACTGATATACAGCCATTACAGTTGTCTAAACAGTTTTGTTAACCTTTAACAAAAATGTGAGGGAACACATTGTGAGCTAGTTCACAATTAAATGGCTAGGAGGTACACTTTTCTATGATGTAATGCGTGTATAGTTGATCTTGTTCCTTTAAATTTTGCCAAAAGGAAAAACAAAATACAATATAGAACAGTTTATAGTTACGTGGTTCTTTCGCACAAGTTCATTTTAGGCTATAGACCAAGGCAGACAGTGAAGGAATATCCATGTTTACGCAAGAGCAGAAAGCCTGAAATGCACTGAAGCAGATGGAATTTATTAGTCAGCATATAAAGCAAAAAGAATAATCAAAATGTCTGATTAGTGAGATATTTCAAAGGATTTCCTCTAGCATTGTTAGTAGTATCACTGTGTTCTTTACAACACCACAGCAAATCAGAACAGCGATCACACCAGTAGGTGAAACAAGGCCACTGCCTGAACACCAACAAGTGCTCCACTAGATCAGCTTGCTCAGGAGTGCTCCCCATTAAAACAGGAGGATCAGGAACTGCTAAGCAAGCAAGTGTAATACGGTGACACATGCCAATGCTACCTGCTGGGAAAGAAGAAAACAGCCTATTTAGTTCTACTACCGACAAGAAAGAGGGCAAGAAAATGCTTTGTTTTATGCCCCAGCTCCAGTATTCTCTGAGGAAGGGAAGAGAAAAGCTATCTAAACCAGTGGTTTTCAAACTACGGGTGGCGACCCAGTACTGGGTCATGGAATGTCAGGCACTGGGTCTTATTGCTGCAGGGAGATCAGGTGACCAGCAAGGGTGCTAAGGCAGCTACCTGCCTGTCCTGCCACCAAAGACTATGCTGTGCCGTAGAAGTGGCTGGCAGCAGGCCCGGCTCTTTTGTGCACTGCCCCTGCCCTGAGCACTAGCTCCACACTCCCAACAGCTGGGAACCAGCTGCTGGCTGCTTCTGGGGCACAGCATAATCTGTGGTGCCAGGAGAGGCAAGAAGCCTGCACCTTAGCACCGCCAACTACCTCCTAACCAGGAGCCGCTCAAGGTAAGCCCCTTCTGCCACAGCCCTAACTTCCC